CACAATATTCCTTTTGAAAGTTGAATGATATCTCATTGACTATATACACCACGGGGCAGTTGAGGCGTGAATTCCATGTCGCCATTTGGCTCTATAGTGGTTCACGTAGCATTCACAAGAGGCGAGTCACCTCGCGACTGCAATCCATAAACCGCATGGGTTTCACAGTACCTCCCACGTGGTAGCACTGTGAACACCACAGCGCTTCAGTGCATCGGCTGGATAGAACTGGCAATGTGGCCATTTGCCTCATGGCATTCACCTTCCACTCTGGTGGCCGTGCCGTTGCATTCCACCATGTGGGCGTACTCCAACGGGCTACCACATAGCATTTATGTGGGCTTCGCGTGATTGCAATGTTGCTCGGCTTACGAGAGGATCAAAAAAAATCTCCTGACCAATCCAAAGAGGATTGGTCAGGAGCATGGGCTAATCAGGATACAAACTTGAAAGACAAAAACAAATTACTCCCTCAGGAGATCATGACAGAATCAACCACACTCAAAGTCATACAACATCTTTTCAATTCAGATATAATTCCCTGCTACCATTCTACAGTTAGTTCAATTGGTCTTGCCTTGGATATAATGTTCCTAAATCTCTTGTTGATATGCGTAAAAATGTAAGTAAACAAGATATAAAAGAGTCGATCAATTGGATTTGCGATAGATGAAAGGTTGAAGATACATCCAACTGATACTGACTGGTGAATACTCAAGATGACAGAGTTCAAGTGATTGAAAGAAGAAGATCAGACTCAAGATGATAAGTTTAACCAATCTTGAAATAAAAACAATCCATGAGAAATATTCAAGAGCGTCTTTAAAAGTAGTCAATGACCATCAAGAGGATCTGTGAGTAATGGATGGTAGTAGGGAAAGGATCAGATGATATATAGAAAAAAGTGTAAAGGGATGAATGAATTGTTGATGAATGAGATGTTTGGGACTTCATTGAGAGGTCGAAGTTCAAACACTTTTTATACCAAAACATTGAGTGATATGATGAATGACATCATAATGTCATCATATCATGTTGTAAGCTCAGGAAAACGGTCAACTGCGGTCAACTGCACAGCACGCAGATTACGAATATCTTCATCTTGATTCTCAATCACAATGTGACCTTGATTGGAATATTTGTGTGGTTATGGGGCAGCGGGCACTGTGGCTACGGTGAAATCATCAGGTGATCATACCATGGCCACAGCCAATGTGATGACCACGTGGTGATTCACGTCGCAATTGTGAAACCTTTTGTCACAGTTTGCGACGTGATGGCAGCGTGGTCTTACTGCTGCCATTTGTGACATCACATCTGTGTGATTCAAACTCGCACGGCTTTCAACGTCGCCGAGTTTCATCTGCATTTCAAGTCGATTGCTCGGTGAAATTCACGTAGCCCTTCATCGCACTCTGGCAGCGCTTTTTTGCTCAAAGGCTGCCCGGTGGTGTACTTGATATGTAATTTCTTTCAGTCATCATATTCATCATTAGACAAATGTGGTATCATTATGTCTAAAACCTTCCAAAACTGTGTGTTGCATCTTTTGCAAGAGCCCCTCATATATGAACGTGCTGACATGTGATACCTGGTATTCCTCAAAACAAAATTCACACACATGGCCAGATGTGAGAAAGCTGGCGACTGTTGGATGGTTGTTTTTTGACCTGACCCTGTAAACGTAAAATACAGTTTACGTATTGTTACGTTTACAAGGTGCCGTTGGAGATGCTCTAAGTAGTCCATTATAACACCATCCTCAATTCCTAAAGATCTGATGGTGTTTTTCTACATTTCAAATCCTACCAGACAATTGTTTCCCAAGAATTTCCGGCCATTTTCACTTTACCTCACTGTTTACATGTCCTCAACTTGAGCACAAAATATATCTTGGCTCATCCAATGTTGAAAGAAGTAGTAATAGTATCAAACAAGAAAGAACTTGTCGATTTCTTTACTAAAGCTCATTACTGGATGAGCTTCTTGGCACTGCAAAAATAATGTATTTTTCCAAGGTGAAAAATGATTGAATTTAATGCACAAAATGATTCATAATGCAGAATTGATGCAGAAAAATGCAGAATTAATGCACAATTAATGCATTTTTAATCATTTTGTGAAATAACTGTAATCATTTTTCACCTTGGGAAAATACATTATACTTGCAGTGTGGAGAGTTGGCAAGGAAAAGAAGGCATCTCACATGGACTTAAAACCTTCACCAAGACCCAATGGTTTTCTTTTGCTAAAGTTTGCTTGTGTGTTCAATTGCACAAGCTGAGGTTCAAGAAATGTGTCTATACGACCAAAGATTGATTGATTGACAGTCCTGCCATCAGGAAGAACATTTGTGAACTCGTTGTCAATTGACAACACTTTGCTTTGAATGATGTGTTGGTTCAAGTACTACAACCAGTTGTTGATGCCATTGCGGCCCTAGAGCATGCTAATACTACCGTTGGTGATGTGTGGAAAGAGGTCATCAATCACAATATGTACATCAAGCTCAAGGAGATGCCACTAGTTGGAGTTGTATACTCACCTTTCATGTCTCATTGCATTACTACCATCAACAAACAAATCAAAGTTTTTGAAGAACCAGCCTATATTGTTGGCTTGTTTCTTACACCCAGCTGTCAATAAATCACTACATCTTGCAAGTTTGATCTTGATCACATGACTTGCCAAACTGTCAATATTGCTAAGAAATGGAAATTCAGCAAAAACAAATGTGTGAATTTACTCAACCAGGTCTTACACTACTACAACTCAGAGGGCTCATTTCAATTGGTGTCCAAATGTGAGACTCTTTACTTTATATGATTTAGGTGAAGTCAATTAACACTACTGATGATTATGTTTTAGCATCATCTGTGATGGACTATTGGTTAAGAATACCCAATACTCCAAACACTCATGATCTCAAGACTTTTGCTGTGAAGCTCTTCAAGATCATAGCTCACACTGCTGGGGTTGAAAGCTTGTTTTCTGGGATGTCTTCTCAGAAAAAAAAGTCACGCCCATGTATGAATGTTATCACACTGAAGATGATGTCTCAGATCAACATGAATATTCAATTTGAGAACCCAAAACGCCCATCAAATTCTTCATCAAAAAACAAGCCTGTGGACAAAACCAATAATGATCTCAATGCCCAAGAATTACAGTTTGAAGATTGAGATCAACTTCAAGAATTTGAGGACAGTATTCATTACAAAGATGATGAAGACCCCAAAGGTATTCAATTAGATGAATTAGAACACATGGATACACTATTTGACATCACTTTATTTAAAAATGAAAATGATCTGGAGCAAGAAGGTGATAAGAATATGGTTGATGTATCTCCTTCTGAAGATGAGGATTGGAACAAGGATCATTTGTTTTTGTGATTTACCTTGTAACTACTGTATAGGTGATCACAACTCACATCTAAATTAAAACTATACTCATGAGACATGAAAGGCTTGTGCCTCTATACTTGTCTTTTTTGGAGAAAAACAATATGGTATGAGCTGTATTCTTATACTTAGATCATATGCTTGTACTGAGACCACTGCATACTTGGAGCTCCACAGTGCAGACTTTTACTGCTCTTCACGTTGCAATCTATTACAGCTGTTTTCAAGATTGTTGATTTTTTCCTGGATATTTCAGTTGTTCAATTTTGTCCAAAACTCGAACAAAACCCTTTTGGAAATTTGGGCTTTGACATCTCAGGTGGGGATATTTTGACATTTCAACTATTCTCCATTGCTTTGCGTACTATCGCATGCAAGAGGGTGCGAAATCAACATATCTGAAAAGGGTTTTGGACACAGATTTGGACTTTTGCAAAGGATGATGAATGCTTGAAAAAAATCATTGATCTTGAAAACGGCTGTACCTACTTGAAGACACCCTTAGCTCTCCTCTTGCATCTCTCTCAAGCTTCAAGGGCCTTAACACAATGTATCCTAGTGGAGCGCCTTCACACCCTCACCAAGGGTGTGCCTTTTAGAGCTCAAAAAGGAGTGCCCTGGTGCGCCCCACATAAAAAAAAACACCCCACATGACCTGACACGCGTGATCGGAGTGATGAAAGCCTTGTGGGCACCTTGGGCGGGGCCGGGCTACTCAACACCCGCTGTATTTTTGCTGTGTTGACAAAATCTTTCTTTCTAAATTTCCTCCTATAGCTCTTTTTGATTTTGATGTAGGCTCACATAGCTTCTACAAAGCATCACACACACATAAACTTGCAATAAAATTCAAATTAATCACTGTATTGCCCAGTTTTAGCACCTATAATTTGCTCAGGGTGTGCCGTGGTTGGCCCTGAACACTTTCTGAAGGCCCTCGGGTCTACCCAGGGTTGGGCAAAGCCCTGGTGCCGGCCCTGAAAGTTAGGGCCAGTTCATAGCCCTAACTCAGCCCGCTGGACATATGTAGTGTGGGTGTTGATTTATGGCTAAGGTGTGCAGTGATAGATCCTTTTATGAACAATTGTACTCTTAACCATTTTGCCCTTCCCACTTGGGGGCAATCATTTGACGTTCACAGTGCTATTTCAAACAGACACTGACTTTTTAAGAATGCAATCTCTGACCAGGTCTTGCTTAAACAAATGGATCCTCAGCCTCAATTGTTGATCTGTTGATCATGTAAAGAAATATGATTGCATACTCGGGTGAGTGTATTTATACTTTGCGGCGGATTAGAGCGCACCACTCTGGAGTGGATTCAAATCACATAGAAATAAAAGAAAGTTTTTCTCATATGTATTCCACATATGGGATGACCAAACATCAAGTATCAAAGGCAGTTATATATAGACCTCACCAGAAGATAGATAACGGCCTCTCGTCAACCTTGACTTCAGGCTGAGGGTTGACAGTGGAAATACAAGGAGAGAAATTTGGATGCACCTGTTGGCAGTCAATGTTGCCACCCCGTGTGCCTGTTTAATCGAAGTCGGACATTGGGTCACCAAAAGGCAATTCGAGCCGCAATTCGATTCACTTTTTGAATGAGACTGTTTCTTGGTCGCAATAATTGGCTCGGGTTTTTTGTTCTCCTGGGACTTTCCTGGATATCATCGCCTTTAGACGGGAAGCCACAGCTGGAGTGAATTGTCGCACCAAAGTCAGAGAAGACATCCCACAAAAGATGATGACAGAAACCATGTGAGCTTCACCACATCTTTGTTCGTTCCTGCGATTCGGTGATGAGGGAAGTTCTGAAAGTTCACTCGGTTTCACAGAGGCCTTGCGCGAAGACATCCTTGAAAAAGCTTTATACATATCCGAGAAGAGAAGAAACATAAATATCACATTGTCAGATTAGCTTTCGGATATGAATTTCCAAACTCAAATATGATTGAACGATCGAATGGGCTTGACTCAAGCGCGGCATGACTAATTGCAAAGCTCTATATGAATTTTCTCAAGGTCAGGGTTGTGAAATACAGCTTGATCAAGTTTTGGATTCCGCATTCACAGAAATATAAATGACCCATGTACCTGTGACTTGGTTGATGTCTGGATGTAATCTAGACAGAATAAAGTTGAGATCTTAATCCTTGACTCACACAAAAGACTCCTTTTCTTCTCGCCTACCAGGGTTCCGCCTCCCACGGGAGGGTGCGAGTGTATAGAGTCAATACTTCTCATTGGCCAAAGCGATATTTCCGGACGATAGATGTTTGGTCTTTCAAGGGAGGTTGTGCACTTCTCAGGCATTTTGAATGATCTCCCTGGTGGATAGAGGTTTTGCAATCATTTATGAGGACTAAGCTAGTCAGAAGTGTCACTCTGCGGGGTCACAAAGAAAGAACCAATGCTCATACCATTTCTCACAGATTCCATGCTTCCAGTTTCAATACCATAGTGATCTTTAGATTCTTGGGACAAGTCCATTTCGACTTCTGTGCGCCCATGACAGTATTCGGATGGCAATTGACTACCTTTTGACATCTCAGTTTTTGTGTTACTAGATCTATGGGTATCTTCGGTCGGGGGGACATCTGTGACCACAGCGGTCAGAATACTAACCTCTTTGACCAAGCAATTACTACGAAAAGATGCAGCTGTGCAAACAAAGCTTACCCTCTTGTACACGATCCAAAACGGAAGGACTCCTGCTTCGCTTGTGACTATGTAAGCTTGAGAGATCTAAAAAGCATACAATTGACACCACGCCAGACAGTCATTTCATCTGGGACCTAATCTACACACAGTAAAAGATGAGAGGCAAAAAGATAAACCTACGATGCTGTCGAATGAAGAGCACATCCTCGGGGATTGGACTCTGGTTAACCTCCCCTGAGAACGAGTATTCGTGTTTTTCTGCTGTACGACGCTCATCAGACCGTATTGATCCACGCGAAATTGAGAGTTTTTTGGCGCATTATGCATTGTTGGCTAGCTGACCTGTTTCCCAAACCTCTGAGTCAAATGCATCAGAGAAATCTTCTTTACTACTCTCATAACTGCCGTCATCGACGGAACCTAACATGGATATATATCATACGCTACTTGTTAGCCCATTTGCATCTTTCGTATGAAGGAGATCACATACCATCTGGATCCGTAGTGACCACGGTGGTGCTGAAGTGGGCACCTTTGGGAGTGACACCTGTGATGCTTGATCGCCTGGGATTGTGATCTTAGGAAAAGATGAAACCTCGCTCAACGATTTTCACTTTTTCTCCTTACTCGCCATATTTTGCTGATAGGATTCATTGATCAAAAGCCTTACCGTTTGTAAACCATTCAGCCACATGAGTCGCGGGTGCGTTGCCACCATCTCTACCCGCTTGTTTCCAGAGGTTTTTGATTCCAATGAGAAAATAGAACGCCCAACTTAGACCGCAATAGATGAGCAAAAAAGGTAAATTGGTGATATCGTCAAGTGTTTTCAACATGATTTTTCGCGTTCTTCCCTTTTGAGACGATAAGAATGCAAAGAAAATATCAGATCAAGAAGCTAATATATCGAGTTATCATTGTACGGCTCCAAAGGAGAAGAATGCAGGCGAAGTACGTTCGCGGACTCAGCTGAAGTTAATTACGCGTTGAGTGAGCTTCTCCGTTTCAGATTTGCCTGCGGTCTTTATACTGTTTTATCAATCAAAATAGTCTCGACCGCTGTGTACTTGATTTCCTTGATCCGAAGTGAATCCCACTATGTGCTAAAAAGCGTCAAGTGAATTGTTGGGCAAAGTGCCGTCTTACGAGTATGTACGGGCCACGACCACCAGATAAGGAAAGACTTTTTGATTCGTCGATAGGGAGAGAGCATCAGATGAATTTGATTAGCAAGTCAAGGGCAAGCAATCGGTAATACACAATAGATAACCTATTTATCATCACGTTTGTTTATACCATGACAGACGTTTATGAACTCCGTTCCGGGAGGCGATCGATATGATCCCAAGCTTGAAGCTGCACCTCAACATATGCACAGAGTATTCCGATTTGTGATCGACTGAGTCTGAATTGAGATCGTGAAAAATCGTACGCGGGGATTAACGGATATGCTGTGCAGATGAATAGTTTCTGTTCAAGTCCTCACTCGGTCCGAGATCCTAACAATTGCAAAAGTTACTGACCTTTACAGCGCAATGGGTCACACGTTTTGTGGAGGGCGGAAAAGGTGGACGAAATATAATTTATGCTGGTTCAGCAAACGCTTCTCAACCCATGTCCTTTCTTTCTCATTCTCTTTGACACAAATCACTATGGTTCCTATAGCCGAAAGTTAAGAGCATGAACGTGTCCAAAAGCCGATCCCGAAGTGCCACTCGAAACCGTGCAGATGCCAAAAAGAAAGCGAGCGATTCAGATTGATGTGATATCGGCAAGGCAAATCGGATTCAAAAGCTATGTATTCCTGTCTTGATGATACCTAGCGATAATCAGGTTGGGAAACATTTTGCCCCACCAGAAGGTCAACGACTGTCAACAAGCTCCTCGCCAAGAAAGCCCAAACTACAGATAAGCTTCTCGCTGAACTTGCTTGAATTGGTGACTTTGTGAAGTCTTGATTTCATTCCAAGATCGTCATACAAGTATCCAAAATTTTTTGAATGTAGGAAGTGTGCAACTCAATCCTAAGCCTTCATTGTACGTGAGTCTGACTCATAGAAGAAGCGTAAGAATCCGCTCAATCACAATCGTTAACTCGTTGATCATGTAAGGCAATTTTTATGATTGAAGAGTCAAGATGGGTAAGTATTATTTTACGTTTTAAGACATTACGCTTGAGTTGATTCAAATCACATAGGAATCACAGAAACTTTCAAGCTTTTTCATATTCCACATATGGGTCGGCTGAATATCAAGGATTATAGGCATTCTTCCGTAGAGGACATAAATATATAAATAGAAAGATGAATGCGATGTCTCATCGGCTTTCCCTCCACGCTTAGAATTGACTATGGATATATCAAAAGAGAAATTTGGATGAAGCGGTTGGTGGTCGATTGTGGTGGCCCGAGTGCCTATTCGGTATCTGAAGCTCGGGAATCACTAAAACGAAACGAGAACCGCAATTTGATTCCCTTTCTGAGTCTGCGAAAGACTTTTCCTTGCGGGTCGCAATCATCGGCTGGAAGTTTGTGTTCTCGAGACACTTGCTTGGGCATCATCTCCTTTAGACGGGAAGCCACACCTACAGTAGATCGATTCGCACCAAAGTTAGAGAAGATACCCCATGAATACCAATCAAAGAAAGTCTGCGAGCTTCACCAGAGGGATGCTCGTTCCTGCGCTTCGGTAATGGAGGAATTGGTGAAGGTTCACTCGATTTCACAAAAGCTTTGCGCCAGGACATTTTCGAAAGAGCTTCAACATGTACAGAAAAGGGAGAAACATCAATATTCCACTATCAGATTAGCTTTGGGTTATGCATTCGCAAACTGAAATCTGATAGCAGGGGCAGTCGGGCTCGACTCAAACCCATCATCGATGGTTGCAGAACCCCACATGAATCTCCCAAAGATCAAAGTTGCGGAATACAGCGTGGTCAAAATTTGAGATCCCACATATCAAAATTCATATGGTCCAGCCGCATATGACTTGGGTAATTCTTGATCTGAAGTCAATTCAATAACATAAAATTGAGATCTTGAATTGTGACTCACACAAGATACTCTTAATTTTGTTGCCTTCAAGGGTTCTGAATTCATCTGCAGGAGGTATAGGCTCGGGACTTCCCATTGGCCAAAGCGATATTTCTGGGCTAAACATGCTTCTTCTTTCAAATATAGGTGTACATGTCTCAGGAATTTTGCTCGCTGGTGAATCGAGGGTTAGCAATCATTCATGGAAAGTATGTACACAAGTCAGAAATGGCACTCTACCAAGTCACGAAAAACAACTAATGCTCATACCTGTAGATAAAGATGGCGCCATGTTTCTGATAGTTCTCGTGCTTGCAGTCGAATTGCCGTAGCGATCTTTTGGGCCAATACCGGAGTCAATTTTGGTGTCTACGCTTCAATGAAGGTAGGAAGATGGGCATACCTTTGTGCAAATTGGTTTGAGTGTTTCCTGTCCTATGGAGACCTTCATGTCGAGTGGATCCACAGTTTCAGTGGTAAGTAATCTAACCTCCTTTGCGAAGCATTCACCAAATTCAAAGTCAAGAAATAATAGCTTACCCTCTTGTGTATCATCCGAATAAGGAGGACTCCTGGTTCGTTTTTGACCACGTTTCTTTGGACGATCTGAAACGCATACAATCAACACCATGTTAGACATTTTTTCTCCCCGGGACCTACTATACATACGGTGATATCAGATGCAGATAAAGTAGTCATACTATTGCGCCGAATGAAGGGAACATCATCAAGGGTGGGGCTTCGAGTGGTCTCTCCTACGAGCGAGTATCCTTGTTTTTCTGCTACTCAAGGCTCATCAGAACGTATTGGCGCAAGAGACTCGAAAAGGCTTTGAATAGATGGTTAGCTAACCCGATTTCCAAATCTCTGAGTTGAATACATCTGAGAATTCTCTATACTCTTGACTCAGTTCTCCGTCTGAGCCTAACACAAAGTACACTACTGGTTAGCCTAGGTGTATCTCTCGTATGAAAGTATTCACATACCATCTGAGTCTACTACGACCACCGTATTGCTAAATTGGCCGCCTTTGGGAGTAATTCCCGCGATGCTTGATCGTGTGCGATTGTGGTCTTAAAGATGGTATGCGGCTCAACATTTGCCGCTTTTTTTCTTGACTCGGCCTATGTTGTGAATGAATGAATGATTGAAATGCTTACCCCTTATGAACTGTTCGGCCATATCGGCTACAAGTGAGTGACCACGACGGTTCACTGCTGATGTCACGAATTTTTTGATGCCAGCGAGAACACAAAACGGCCAACTTAGAACGAGGTATATGAGCAAAAAAGGTAGATTGGTAATCTCGTCAATTTGCTTCAACATGATAGCTCGCGTTCTTTTCTCTCGAAGCGTGGAGAATTTGAGGATTAACTTGAGAAGCCGATTTGTGGGATTTACTGATAAGTCCTCGAAGGAAAGGGATTTGGGCGAAGTACGTTTCAAGGAAAGAGGTCTGTAAGTGCTGTCTTTTGAATTGAAGACGTCCACATACTTTTGCACTTAATATCGTTGATCTGAAGTGCGCCCCAATGCCTGAAAGCACCCAGGGAGCTGTTGGGCAAAGCACCGCCTGTGAAATCATATGGGTACAAGCCTCCGCCAGCGGGTGGATGACTTATGATTGGCCTATTTCGTCATTTGGAAAAGACCAATCAGATGAATTTGATTAAGAAGTCCAAGGCCAGCGATCGGTGATACACAACCTAATTCAAGAACCCGCCTTGAGTATAATTGCTGAGTTCATTATATCATCACGTTTATTCATATATTGCCAACGTTCATAAAGTCTGCTCAGGACGAAGAATTCGTCTCCAAGCCAGATTTCGATACAATATTCCGATCTGTGATAAACTGATTAAGAAACTGTGAAATATCGTAAGCTTGAAACTGGGGAATGTAACTGAAGTGTATATTTCATCGTCTTCAGCCTGATGCATAATTGATGCTGTCATCACATTAGGGCTGCGACCCGGACCCGACCCCGCCCGGCCGAAGTCGCCCGAGGGTTTTTTTTGACCTCACAGTCCGTGCCCCGGGGCAGCCAAACCTAACTTGATGAGAGTGACAAAACACCCTCGGGCATCCCGGCGCCCGACCCGACCGAGGCGCCGAGCCCCTCATCCCTGTTCCCAGTTTGAGTTTCTCACGATCATCATTACGTAATATCTTAGAGCATCCGCACTCGTTTGCGGTTGTTAACTTGGTCATGTGCAGTAACAACCTCTACATTAAGTAAAAAATTACCTAACGCAACCAAATTCCACACTCGTGCCAAAATTACCCACACAGTAGTTAAGTAACTTGAGAGATAATTCAAGTTTCCACACTGATACAAAGGTTAAAGACTCAAAATACGCCAAACAACTGAATTGATCACCTTTGCAATCAATCAGTGCATTCCAAGTGATTCCTGCCAGGAAAGAGCTCTGGGACAGCAAACTTCAACTGATATTAACTTGAAATCTCATCACAGCTGGATGGTTGGCACAGAGAGGTTTATAGACAAGCAAATATTAAATTCATTTCATCATTAATTGAAAGAGATCATGTTGAAGACCATGGAGAATTTGAAAAGAAATGAAGATAATGAAGATCCTCTTGCATAGGTCCCCCCTGCAGTCGAATGCGAGTTTTTTTATCAAACCCTTTTGAAGTCGATCCAAACAATGAGAATTGTTTAAAATCCTTCTAAAATTCAAACAAACAATAAGAAATCGATCCATTTTGATCTAAAAACCTTGTAAAACCAACTCGAAGGATAAGAAATCGATCTCGATGGATCTAAATTATCACTAAACATCTATATGATCACATGGAAAGTAGAACAATCTTGATCAATATTGGATAAGCAGAATCAGACAGTAAGAAACTAGCTAGAAATACCATGAGTTTGAGGAACTAAAAGACAGTTTGATTTCCATTGATTCTCAATTCTGGTGTTTTGAGTCAAGAGAAGTCGAGTTGAGTCGGAATTGAGTTGAGTTGGCGAGTTGGTGTGCTTGAAAGGTGAAGGGAGGGCTTGCGATTGGGCTACCGCATGCGTTAGCCAATTGGTAAATTTACCGATTTGCTAACACAAATCAATCAAAAGTTAACTACCGCGGGGCTAATTTTTCACCAGTGTGGGAAAGGCCCCGCAGTTGCGGTAAATTTTACCTTACCGCACGCGACTTACCGCATGAGTGCGGATGCTCTTACTGTAACTCCGAATCGGAAACCCCCTACCCCTTTACCCACGTCTTGGATTAGCATTCAGTGGCCATCATGCCCACCCTGTCAACTCCCGTCACCCGTTCTTCCCATCTACGTACCAATGCCAATATGTCCTCTTGTTCTTTGCTCGCCCCTTTGGATTCCATTTCCGAGGTGGTTGCTTCCGATACCACCACTACAATACACTCTTCTTGGGTCTGGACTTACTTCACTACCGAGAAAATCGATGGCGTGATGAAGAACGTGTGCCGAGCACAACTTGGATTTGCTGATGCCACCAATCCCATCGACGACGATACCGAACCACCTGTCTGCAACAAACCTCTTGCCATCGACAAACACGCCAGTACTAAGTCGATGATTTGACATCTTGACCGACATCATCACATTGTAGCACCTGTTCAAACTGATCAACCCGCTGTGTCAGCCTTTCATATCGATGGGGTACCTGTGAAAGTAAGTCAATTCATTAAAAGACTTACATTTTAATAATAAAATTACTTATAATAGTATGATGATATTACTTTTAGGTCAAACCGCTCAACAGAGCTAACCTCAAGGAGGTTTTGATCCGGATGATTGTCAATCAAGAGGTCCCCATATCTTTTGTCGATGCCAAAGAATTTCGAGAGGTGATCAACATGATCAACCCCACAGCTTTCACCCTCCTATCCAAACGAACCGCCATCACCGATGGAATTCTAGATACCTTTCAAACTAGTCGAAATCAAATCATCAAGATGCTTTCTTCTGTTGACCACATCTCCATCACCTGTGATGGATGGACGTCTCCGACGAATATCGCCATGCTCGGTGTCACCGCACACTGGATCACCAAAGACTTTTCTCTCCGCGGTATCACTCTCGCTGTGAAGCCCATCGATGGACCCCACACTGGCTCCAACCTCGCTTCGCTTCTCAAGACCATTTTGGATTCCTTTCATATCTCTGACCGTCTTTACTGTATCACCGCTGACAACGCGTCCAACAATACCACAATGGGACAATGCCTCTTGACCTTGATTCCTCATTTCAATTCATCTCAAAGCCTCCATGGGTGCGTAGCACATGTAATTAATTTAGTGGCTAAAGCTGGGTTGGCGGTATTTGACCGAAAGACCCAACCTGAACCTATCGATCTACTTGATCCCGCCATACCTCGAACTCATTCATCTGTTCCGTTGTTTATTGAGCCTACCTCAACCTCCGAGATAAGTAGCCTTCTCACCCGGATCCGAGCCTTCCACAAAAAAATCAAGCATTCTAGTCAGCTCAAGACCTCACTCGACAACGCAATTGCCTCATGTGCCACTTTGAATCGCAAGGTTGGACTCGTTCATGAGGTCTCAACCCGCTGGTCTTCCACGCACGCTTCACTTGCTCGATTTGTTGAGCTGAGGGTTGTATTGGAATACCAGTTCAACTGTAACCCAGCTCTCGAGGTGTTTAAACTCGACCACGAGGAGTGGATCTTAGTTGAAAGTTTAGTGCAGTTCTTGGGACCTCTTGCTACCGTTACGAACACGATCGAGGGTCATTCATACCCCACGTTTTCTATTGTCATGCCTGACTATCAGTGGCTGGTCAAAAGGCTCGAAAAGGTAATGTATAATTTTTGTTTTGCTTTTCAATCGTTCACTTGATTAAACTGACTGTTTGGAACTTTTCAATTTGCATATAGGCATGGGCTGATTCCAAATGTAAGGAACTCAAGGTGGCAATCAAGCCGATGATCAAGAAAATAATTCAATATCAAAATGCCGCCGAGACCAAAGCTGTTTACATCTGTGCTGCCATACTTGACCCGCGTCTCAAACTTACTGCTGTTAAGGCCCAAACGATGGAGTCCCTTGGTTGGGGACATGAAGACTTGGTTAGTTACTTTATATCACAAGCGACCAATTTCACACCCTCTCTCAACCCCGAAATCGAGATAGTTGAACCTCAGGAAACGGATCTCAACCTGGACCGACCTCAACACTACATCAAGAGGCGCAAGACCGTTCCGATTGAAGATGAAGTCAAAGAATACCTCACCGCTCCTCAGGAGGATGAGATATGCAAACCTCTCGTCTACTGGGACACCGCCGGACGACACTGGCCCAACTTGGCACGAATGGCAAAAGCCATGCTTGCAGTTCCAGCCACGAGTGCTCCTACTGAGCGCACATTTTCTAATGCGCTGAGGGTAATGTCCGACCACCGTGCCTCTTTCACTCCTACCAATCTCGAGGCCCAGGTTTGTCTCAAGAGTTGGAACAATGTGTTGTGATGTTTTCTTGATCTCCTCATCAGGCTATTAGAGCTTGTCTATACCGTTCTATACATGAGATCTATACCGTTCTATACATGAGAATAAATGATAAAACAAGTTTTCTACCCGAGATTTTTTATTATAGTCAAGTAACCAAGTTGTAGAGGTCTTATAAATGAATTGAAATAAACTTGCTACTTTTTTATGCCTTCAATTGAGCCTAATGGCTGCCTTCAATGCCTAAGCCTCGACCAGGGCGTGCCCTGGTCGGCCCTGAGAGTTTTTGAGAGGTCCTCGGGTCTTCTCGCGGCCGGGCGATGCCCCGGGGCGGCCCCGTCACACTCAGGGCCGGGTCGCAGCCCTACATCACATACGGAGTCACCAGAACATGTCCCTATATCTCTCCCGCCGACTTCTTTCAATGTCACATCCTTGACTCTCACATCCTACTTTGTCCAACATGTGAGGAGTGGTTTCACAACTGTCTACATACCAAAGCTTTCGAATTGAAGGCCACAAACAGGATTCCACACAGACAAACAAAATACGACAATGAATCTAATGACCACGATCCGCACAACTCGCAAAGTGCGCCAGGGACGTCTGAATTGGGAATCATCGGAGAAATGTCCACAGAAAGGCTAGGCTCGTGGCAGAACTGAAGACATCCAGCGAGCATTTCATTCTGAACCAGAACAGATATGCACATCCCATTTTGCATTCAACATCTGCCAAAAGATCCTAGTTGTTTTTTGAAGCACAGGTTTGTAAGAAATCCGTGGTTAGGAGATGTGAAATGATACACGAAGTGGCAGACCAGGCCAGACCCCGTTTCTGTTGTAGTGCATAGAGGTTCGAAGTATGCAATTTAGTAACAATACGACTACATACACAAGGCAAACTAAAGGGCCCTGGCCAAGGGAACCTAAAACAAACTCAAAGATAATTGAAAATGAGAAGGAGAGACGGGTTTTTCCTTCAAGGGATTTCAGCAGCTAAAGGCATCTTTGATCTTGACAGAAAGTGAACATTATGAAAACGAGAAAATTGGCCTGCACTTCCTACACATTCAGAAGTCGTAGGAAAATTTCCCGGATAGTTCAGCATTTCAATTTTTAATTCATGTGAATTTAAATTGACGAGTCATGATTTTTTTTTTTGACTCGTCCCCGTTGAACGTTGAACCGGCTTCGGTATGTACCG